TCCTTCTACTTGAAAATGTCACCTTAAAACAGTTCTCTCAGCCCTCAAACGCTTCCTCTTAAACGTGGTTCACTGACATCTGCGATTATGAAATCGTCTTCAAAAGAACATTGTTACATCAGTGAATAAAACGTTAACGGTAGAGAAATGCCAGGTGAGCAGTGAAGACAAGTCAGTTCGGGACGGGCACGAGGAAGGTGTCCCCCGACCCGGAAATGCAGAGCTGACAGGCTTTCTGGCCCGCCGGGGCTCAGCATCTCAAAACCAGAGATTTTTAGGGGTGAAGGACTTCAGAGGGGTTGGGCGGCTGCCCCAGCCAGTCGCTTACTTTGCAGATTAGTGGTTAGAGGTCTTGGGAGTTCTGTCGTGGGCTGCGGCCACCGCCAAGCGCAGAGCGCTGAGTGGACTGTAATTTTCTGGTGCTGTGCGGGGTCTTCTTTCTGCTCGTGATCCACGCAGAGCACCTGGTTCTCATCCCACTGGCAGCCACGCTGCCGCGCTGAAGCTCCCACCCCGTGTCACAGGTAACGGAGCTGGTTCAAATACGGGGAAACGCCAAACACCGCATCATCGCATTGGCAACCCACCTGGGACCCCCTCCTCCCAACACACACACCCACACTGACACACACACAACTGATACGCACACGCACACTCACAGTCACTCACATAAACTCATACACACACTCACACTCACATAAACTCATACACACACGAACTCAAACACGCTCACATGCGCACACTCACATGCACACAACTCGCATACAACGCACTTAGTCACACTCACATAAACTCATACACACTCAGTCACACGCGAACTCATAAACACACTCACACTCATACACACAAATTCATACACATATTCACATGCAATTCACACACGCACACAAACTCACAGTCACACTCACACACACACTCACACGCACCTCCAGGGGAACATACACATTTCCTCCGTTCAGCCACTCACTGGTCTGGATGCCTGACCCATGACCCATAGAACCGGCCACTAGTTTGCCTTCAGGACACATTCTCGATACTTCGCAGACTTCCCTGGGCTAACCTCGGGCTTCAGGGGACGCTCACTGGGGCAACGGCAGTCACTATTCGGGACGTGCAGGGGCGGGGCAGCGCAGAGGCGTCTCGAGGCCGGCCTGACCTTCAGCGCAGTGAGCATGCGCGGGTGCAGACGGTGCACGGCAGACCCTGCGGGGTGGGGGCTCCCGTCTGGTCCCCACGCCTGTCCCCGCACCCCCCCACCTCTCTCCTCACTTCCTCCTCCCCCCTTCGCCCCTGAAGGCTGTCTGTGGGGCCAGCTCTGAGGACATCCAGGCGACCTGGGAACAGCAGCCTCGCTGCTCTGCGGTTGCTCCAGCCTCCGAGCAAACAGGAGTCCCCAACACCCCGGGGACCACCAGCCGGAGGGGCTCAGGGACAGGACGCGGCCTCCGCCTCTGCCTCCGCTGAGCGCTGGGCGTCCGGACACCAACGCAGCGCGACCCCAGCGCACTCCGCGGTCCCGGGTCTGA